CCTAGTTCGGCGAACTAGGCCCGAAATCGTTTTTGGGGACCCGTCTGAAAAGGATAGCTTCGTTTCCAGGCCCAGACGGCCAAACCCGACAACTAGCCATGAGACAAGCCCCTGTAGTGAAGCAAACTCGAGTTAGGACCACATGCTTCACCTATCACCTCGGGAAAGTTTATGGGTTCGACTCCCCTTACCCCCCTCCTGTTTCCTTTCGGTGGGTTAGCCCAAAATCTTGCTTCAAGAGACAAATTTGACAACACGCAAAGGAAAGCCAGCCAAAACCATTTTTTCCCAGCGTAGTTTGCCGAGCTACAACCTAATAAAGCCCCAACAATCCACTTTCAAGGCCGCTAGGCCTCAAATCCTAGTTCGGCGAACTAGGCCCGAAATCGTTTTTGGGGACCCGTCTGAAAAGGATAGCTTCGTTTCCAGGCCCAGACGGCCAAACCCGACAACTAGCCATGAGACAAGCCCCTGTAGTGAAGCAAACTCGAGTTAGGACCACATGCTTCACCTATCACCTCGGGAAAGTTTATGGGTTCGACTCCCCTTACCCCCCTCCTGTTTCCTTTCGGTGGGTTAGCCCAAAATCTTGCTTCAAGAGACAAATTTGACAACACGCAAAGGAAAGCCAGCCAAAACCATTTTTTCCCAGCGTAGTTTGCCGAGCTACAACCTAATAAAGCCCCAACAATCCACTTTCAAGGCCGCTAGGCCTCAAATCCTAGTTCGGCGAACTAGGCCCGAAATCGTTTTTGGGGACCCGTCTGAAAAGGATAGCTTCGTTTCCAGGCCCAGACGGCCAAACCCGACAACTAGCCATGAGACAAGCCCCTGTAGTGAAGCAAACTCGAGTTAGGACCACATGCTTCACCTATCACCTCGGGAAAGTTTATGGGTTCGACTCCCCTTACCCCCCTCCTGTTTCCTTTCGGTGGGTTAGCCCAAAATCTTGCTTCAAGAGACAAATTTGACAACACGCAAAGGAAAGCCAGCCAAAACCATTTTTTCCCAGCGTAGTTTGCCGAGCTACAACCTAATAAAGCCCCAACAATCCACTTTCAAGGCCGCTAGGCCTCAAATCCTAGTTCGGCGAACTAGGCCCGAAATCGTTTTTGGGGACCCGTCTGAAAAGGATAGCTTCGTTTCCAGGCCCAGACGGCCAAACCCGACAACTAGCCATGAGACAAGCCCCTGTAGTGAAGCAAACTCGAGTTAGGACCACATGCTTCACCTATCACCTCGGGAAAGTTTATGGGTTCGACTCCCCTTACCCCCCTCCTGTTTCCTTTCGGTGGGTTAGCCCAAAATCTTGCTTCAAGAGACAAATTTGACAACACGCAAAGGAAAGCCAGCCAAAACCATTTTTTCCCAGCGTAGTTTGCCGAGCTACAACCTAATAAAGCCCCAACAATCCACTTTCAAGGCCGCTAGGCCTCAAATCCTAGTTCGGCGAACTAGGCCCGAAATCGTTTTTGGGGACCCGTCTGAAAAGGATAGCTTCGTTTCCAGGCCCAGACGGCCAAACCCGACAACTAGCCATGAGACAAGCCCCTGTAGTGAAGCAAACTCGAGTTAGGACCACATGCTTCACCTATCACCTCGGGAAAGTTTATGGGTTCGACTCCCCTTACCCCCCTCCTGTTTCCTTTCGGTGGGTTAGCCCAAAATCTTGCTTCAAGAGACAAATTTGACAACACGCAAAGGAAAGCCAGCCAAAACCATTTTTTCCCAGCGTAGTTTGCCGAGCTACAACCTAATAAAGCCCCAACAATCCACTTTCAAGGCCGCTAGGCCTCAAATCCTAGTTCGGCGAACTAGGCCCGAAATCGTTTTTGGGGACCCGTCTGAAAAGGATAGCTTCGTTTCCAGGCCCAGACGGCCAAACCCGACAACTAGCCATGAGACAAGCCCCTGTAGTGAAGCAAACTCGAGTTAGGACCACATGCTTCACCTATCACCTCGGGAAAGTTTATGGGTTCGACTCCCCTTACCCCCCTCCTGTTTCCTTTCGGTGGGTTAGCCCAAAATCTTGCTTCAAGAGACAAATTTGACAACACGCAAAGGAAAGCCAGCCAAAACCATTTTTTCCCAGCGTAGTTTGCCGAGCTACAACCTAATAAAGCCCCAACAATCCACTTTCAAGGCCGCCAGGCCTCAAATCCTAGTTCGGCGAACTAGGCCCAAAAACGATTTTGCCAGTAAAGAACCAGTCAGGTTCGGTGTGAAAGGGAAAACAACCAAACCATCACTATTTCAAGTTCCAAGGATCTTTTTCGTCCACAAGCTCTGGCTGAACGCGCCGTCTCTGAGAGGCTTTGGGGTTTGGGAACACGCTTGGCCGAATGCGGTCCGTAGGTGTTGTTGGGCACTCATCATGGCTAGAGGGCCGCTTCATGGGGCACAACTAAAAGAACTTCAAAACTTCCTGACCTCGAAATTGGGCAGTGTTTTTTAAGTGGTGTGGAGAGTGAGCAGGTGAGGCATGACTTCTTAGTTTTTTTTGCAAACTCGAGCCCGAAAACTCAAGCAAAACTGACATCCTCTTGCCCCATGCAAATCCAGTCCTGGATCCAGTACCCTGCCCACGCCCGGCCCGCCTCCAAATCTCTGCCAGGACTGTGAAGTCGATGAAGTGTGTGTGTGTGTAACCCTTGGAGTCATAGGGATCCTTCTGGATTTGTTTAGTTTTATTGCAGGGGGG